AACCCCTCCCCTGGGAGCCTGGTCCGGCCGGTTTGGGGGGGGGGGGGGGGGCAAAGGTGTCGGCCGCACCCTTGGAGCCTCAGGGGCCCCCAAAACGGGCCAAGAGGGCACCAAAAGGCCCCCTGGACGGTCCAAGAGGGCTACGAATCGCCGAAAGATCGCTCCAAGACGTTCCAGATCGCCTCAAGACGGTCCCAGAGGCCCCCGAGACGCCCCAAGAAGCCACCAAGAGGCGTCCCAAGAGGCCCTCCAGAAGCAAAAGTCGTCCCATCCCCCAGAGAAAACGCATATGTTTAGCACATTCGCCTCTTGGGCTTCCACGAGGCCCACAACGGCCCAAGAAGCCTTTAAGATCTACCCAAGATAGCCTAAGAGGCCCCCAAGACTGCTCCAAGACGGCCCAGGAGGGCCCCAAGACAGCCCCAAAAACTTCCAAAACGACCCAGGAGGGCCCCAGGACGGCCCCAAAAGGAGACCCAGAGGGGGAACCCGAATGAACATTTCGAGCACTCGGCCCCGAAAAAACATGAGGAGGCGCCAATAGGCTCCCAAGAGGCTCCCACGAGGCCCCCGAGGGGCCCAAAAGAGGCTCCTAGAGGCCTCAGAACGCCTCCCAAGAGGCCTCAAAAGTGCTGCCAGGAGAGCCCAGAGAAGCCCAAGAGCAGAGCGGCGATCCGCCAACCGCCCCCGACGAAATCCCAAGAAACTGAAACCCAAAGATTCCCCAGAAATCGTTGCGCAAACTCCGTGTTTCACTCAGAATGCCGCACCAAGGGGTCGGCGGTGCGGCGTCAGCCAATGCATCATAACTCCGTCCTGCAGCAGCTCGAAGAATATGTTCGTGCCCACCGAAAACGATCCTGAGCTGGTGAGCGCGCTCAGAAACTCGCTCTGAATCCTGGCCGCTTCTGCAGGGAGTCAAGAGAGCGTGCCCGCCCCCACCGCCTGCAGGGAAGGGAGAGGCGGGCCAAGGGCCCTCAGGAGGAGGGTGAGGAGGAATGGCAGCACAGGAAAAGGCTCCTCCTCCTCCTCCTCCGCCTCAGCCTCCGCCTCCGCCTCGTCATCCTCCCCCTCCTCCTCCTCCTCCTCCTCCTCCTCCTCCTCCTCCTCCTCCTCCTCCTCCTCCTCCTCCTCCTCCTCCTCCGCCGCCTCCGCCTCCGCCTCCGCCTCCGCCTCCTCCTCCTCCTCCTCCTCCTCCTCCTCCTCCTCCTCCTCCTCCTCCCCCTCCCCTCCTCCTCGTCTTCTCGTCAACGAAAACAATCGGCATAAGCACAAACTGTCTGAGGTCCGCGCGGATTTATTGTGTCTGCGCGGGGCCCCCCTCCCTGGCGCGCGGAGCGGGCCAGAGGCGGCGCCAGAGGCGCCAAAAGGGGACTCCAGCGCCAATCTACGTAAGAAATCCGCGCAGAGCTTCACTAGTGAATGTTTATGCAGATTTGTCCTCGACAGGGTGACGGAGGAGGAGGAGGAGGAGGAGGAGGAACAGGAGGAGGGCAACCCGAAGCAGGCCCGCGAGCTCGAACCCTAGGCTGGGGTGCAAAAGAGGAGGAGGAGGAGGAGGAGGAGAAGGAGGAGAAGGAGGAGGACAAAGATGAGGACGACGACGAGGACGATTAGGAGGACAAAGACGAGGACGATAAAGAGGACGAGGACGACGACGACGACGACGACGACGAGGACGACGACGACGTCGACGACGAGGCTGACGACGCCGACGACGACGACGACGACAACAACGACGACGACGACGACGACGACGATGACGAGGTTGACGAGGCTGACGACGACGACGACGACGACAACGACGACGAGGAGCAGGAGGAGGAGGAGGAGGAGGAGGAGGGCAAAACGAAGAAGGCCCGCGAGCTCGAACCCTAGGCTGGGGTGTAAACAACACGAAGGAGGCCCGCGAGCTCGAACCCTAGGCTCGGGTGTCAAAGAGGAGGAGGAGGAGGAGGAGGAGGAGGCGAAGGAGGAGGAGAAGGAGGAGGAGGAGCAGCAGGAGGAGGGGGAGAAGGAGGAGGAGGAGGAGGACGAGAAGGAGGAGAACGAGAAGGAGGAGGAGGAGGGGAGGAGGAGGAGGAGGAGGGCCAGGACGCCAAGGCCCAGGACGCGGACGATGACGACGACAACTTGGGGGGAGAGGAGGAGGAGGAGGAGGAGGAGGAGGAGGAGGAGGGAGGAGGAGGAGGAGGAGGGCAAAAACGAAGCCCGCCCACGAGCTCGAACCCTAGATTGGGGTGTGAGGGAGGAGGAGGAGGGGAGGAGGAGGAAGAGGAGGAGGAGGAGGAGGAGGAGAGGAGAGGAGGAGGAGGAGGAGGGAGCAGGAGGAGAGGAGGAGGAGGAGGAGGAGAGCAACACGAAGCAGGCCCGCGAGCTCGAACCCTAGGTTGGGGTGTAAAAGAGGAGGAGGAGGAGGAGGAGGAGGAGGAGGAGGAGGAGGAGGAGGAGGGCCCCGGAGGGGCACCCCCAAAAGTGGGGTGTCGGGCCAAAGCGCCCCCTGGCGGAGGCGGGGACCGCTGGGCCTTCGGGGCGCAAGCCCCCGCACCTGGGATGGCCCCCAAAGCGGGGTCCCCTTCCCAGGGGGCCCCCGGCCACGCAGTCTCCCACGGGAGCCTGGCTTCCCAGCCAGGTGTCGCCCGTGGGAGTCGTGCGCCAGGGGGTCCGTCCCTCCCCGTCGTGTCGTCGCCGTCGCTGTCGTCGTCTGTCGTGCCGTGGCGGGCCCTTGGGGTGGGTGGTGTGGGTTTGGTGGTGGCCTGGCCCCTGCCCGTTCTGTCGGTGGTCGGGTGCTTCTGGCAGGGGCGTTTTCGGCCAGCAAAACGTGGCGGGGGGGCTGGCCAACCATGCCCACGCCGCCCGCTTGCGGGGGGCCCGCCCGCGCCGGGACCGACCCGCGGCCCGGCCGCGGCGGTGCGCGCGGCGCGCGCTGGTTTCGGTGGCCCCGCTCTTGGGACTCTCCGCTGCAGGTCTGAAAGAAAGAGGAGGAGGAGGAGGAGGTGGAGGAGGGGCAGGTGGGGATGAGGCATGCGGTCGCGCAGTAGAAGTGAATGCAGGAGGAGGTGATGCAGGAAGACAATGGGGAGGAAAGGAGGAGAGGGAGGAGGAGGAGGAGGACGCTCTGGGAAGATAAGTAAGAACCACGCACAGGATGCGGGGGGACAACGCGGGAGTCACTGTGTGAAGAACCCATCCAAATGCCGGGCGAAGGCCAGAGCGGGCACGGCCTCCTGGCTGCCCAGCTCGTGCATCCCCGCAGCCCTCCTTGAGCCGCGGCTCCAGCCCCTCGCGGAGCGCCTCCTTCATCCTGGCGTTCGTGACGAGGCGGGAGGTGATCCTGGGGCCCCAGGAGCCTGTCTACTGCCACACGGGAGCGCGCCCAGCCGCGCGCAATGCGACCGGCCCGGGCAGGGCGAGCCGGAATTCGGGGGGCAGGGGGGCGGGAACACCAGGCCTTGGTCCTGCTCTGGGCCTGGACTGGGGGGTCAGGAGCGGCGCGTGGCCGGAGTCCCCCAGAAATGGACCCCCAGAGGTCTCGACCTGCGCCATGTGGCCAGCTTTTCATCCTCCGCTGCTGCTTGGCTCTCCCGAGGCCTGGCGAGGGCCCCCAGGAGGCCGAAAGCTGAGAAGAGCCTCCTCCTCGAGTGTCTCGAGACGCTGGGAGCGCCTGGACCTCCGAGGCGTCGAAGGGACAAGACTGCGGACGTCTTCCCGCAGCCCCGAGCCAGGCGTCTTCGCCCGGTTTCGGGCCCTGGAACCCTCACAAATCGGTCCGGCTCGAAAAATGGCGCTGAAAGATGGGGTCTGGGGCCCACGTCATGAGAACACTTGGTACGATCGAAATAGGTACAGGAAGAATGGGTACGAAGACCAACAGCAGATCATAGTCATTTTGAACCGGACTCGCTGTCGGTGTCACCATGGACTCGCTGTCGGTGTCACCGCTGAGGCAACAGTCGGGGGCCGCGCAAACATGGATTAGCGATCCATGGATTTGGGGCGCGATCGCCAAATCCATGGATCGGGGGAGCTGCCCTCCCCGAAATACGGCCAGTGCCGTCTCGTTCGGCAGTGGAAATCCGCGATTTCCCATGGAAATGGGACCCGTCGCTAATCCACGCCCCCTTGATCCATGTTTGCGATCGCCTGAAACAGGGCGCCTGCCCAACAGCGGTCACTGCCGACTTTGGAAAGCGTCTGCTCTTGGACATCGTGCCCATGTTTTTCGGTGCCCCATTCTCGGGGGCGCGCAAACATGGATTAGTGATCCATGGATTTGGCGCGCAGTCGTCAAATCCATGGATCGGGGGAGGTGCCCTCCTCAAAATACGGCCGGTGCCACCTCCTTCGGCGGCGGAAATCCGCGATTTCCCATGGAAGCGGGACCCGTCGCTAATCCACGCCACCTTGATCCATGGTTGCGATCGCCTGACATTCGAGCGTCCACAAGCACTAGATCAGAAGCTCGGATGTGCTACAACATGACAGGCTCCTGCCATGGCGTGGGCTCTGGTTTCTGACTGCGCGCACCGCCCATTGGCGGCGCGCACGGGGGGAGGGGCAGGGGGAGGAGGGAAGGCTTCCTAGGAGGCTGCTTCTCAGAAGGCGCCGGCCTTACATCCATAGACAAGGCCCACATCTCCTTCTAAGAAGCCTTCCCCCCTCCCCCCTACCACCCTCTTCGCGCCGCCAAGCTCCGCCCTGGCAGGTCTCAGGCCCCCCTGTCGCTCGGGGCGCCGACGTGGCACGGGGTGCTGGGCGCCCCAGCCTGCCTGCTCCCCCCATCGGGGCCCTGCCGCCCACCTGCCCGCGGTGCCTCTCGTCGACTCCGGGCCACCGTCCGCCCCCCCCCCGCGCCGCTCCCGGCGTCCCTGGCGCCCCCCGCGGCGCGGACCGCCGCTCCCGGCGCTCCCGGCGTCGCTCCCGCCGTCGCCCCCGGCGTCGCTCCCTTCCCCCCCCCCCCCGAGCCTCGCGTCGGGGATCCCTCGAGCGCGCCCGGGGGCCTTCGGCCTCGGAGGCCCCGCGCCCCGCGGCCGCGCGCCGAGGCCGCGCGGAGCCCGCCGCTGCCGCTGCCTCGGGCCCCTCCCGGCCGCCGACGGTCTCTCGGCGGCGAGCGGGGAGATTCAAAACGCCTTCGCTCGCCGCGAAGATGCGGATGCGCATGCGCATCCCTGCGCGGACCCCCCTGAGATGCCCAGTGCGGACCAGCCTCCTGTGCGGATACCTGTGCGGCCACCTATGCGGATCCCGACGCGCACGGCGGCAGTGCCCGGAGCGCACTGGGGGGGGGGGGGGGGCGTTACGTCATAGGGGGGGGGTGAGAGGAGGGGCGGGGGCCATGACGCCCGTCGTGCCCCAAGCAAAAAAGAAATGGGCGCTTGGCGGCGCGCACAGTGGGGTGGAGGGAGGGGGGCTTCTTAGAAGGAGTCTGCTTCTCAGGAGGCGGCGGCCTCACATCTGTGGATGAGGCCCGCGCCTTCTAAGAAACAGGGGTGCCTCTAAGAAGCCCTCGCCCCTCCCCCCACCCCCCTCTGCGGGTGGCTGAGGGGGGAAGCGAGAAAGAGGAGGCCCTCTCCGAAGCACCCGGCCTTCAAGAAGGTTTTCTGTGTCTTCGAAGAAAGCTTAGAAAACTTCTCAGAAAGCCGGGGGACTTCTCATTGCACCGGCCTTGCAGACGTGCTGCAGCGGATTTCTGCATGGATGTTTGCCCAAAGCGGCGAGCGAAAAACGAAGTGAATTTCACGTGGATGTTTGTTAAGTCTTCATTCCTGGCCAAAAGAATCTGCACGAAATTCACCTCGAAATCCAAAACGAGATTCTCCAGGACACCCCGGGCCCACCCTTTCGTTTTCCGAGCGAAATCCGCTCTGCGAGGTTGGCGCCATGAGACGTCCGAGCCTTCTGAGAAGGACCGCCCCTCTCACTTCCCCCCAGGCTGGCCGCCGAGTCCCAGAGATGTGCCCTTGGAAGCCCCCAAGATCACCACCGAGGCAAGGTGATGCCGATCATACGGACAGGGATGCGTTCGAGGCTCGATGTGCTCCTCCACTCTCCTCATCAGGAGGCGTGAAGACCTGCATGAGCATCAACTGTCGGAGATCCGTACGCCGTGCTTTGAAGTCCAAGGCCCAGGCTGGATGTGTATAGATTTTCTATACTTTGTACACATGGATATGTATGTATGTATGTATGTATGTATGTATGTATGTATGTATGTATGTATGTATCTATCTGTACACAAGCATTACGACTCCGCTCTCCTTGCCACCCCCCCCTCTCCTTCCATGGCAGCGAAGGGGGGGGACGCAGGCGTCTCGCGAAGAGACTCCAGTGCCTTCAGCTCAAGGCTTCGGGAGGGACGGGAGGGGACTGAAGGGACGAGGAATAGTTGCCCTCGTCTAGATTAACATATGATCACTCCTATAATATGGATGCAGGGGGAAGGACAAGTATCGTGGATGGGTTCCCCAAGAGGTCCCCCCAAGATGCCTGAAGAGGCGCCCGAAGGCCCCCGAGAGGCCACCCAAGGGTGCCCTAAAGAGGTCTCCAAGAGATTTCTAACCCACGAGCCAGGCGCGCTAGCGAGATGGGCCGAGGTGCGGTTTACATGTGGAAAGGTTCCCTGGCCCCAGCTGACCAGCCGCAGGGTGGCCTTACCAGGCGCCTGTTTCAGCAGCTCGGGAGCGCTGGCGGCGCTGCCCCACATCTTGCATTTCTTGTCAAGGTATAGGCCGACCGCGTAGACGCTGAGCGAGCCGAACTTCTTCCGGGTGCCCGTCGCCACCAGGGCCTGCTCGTTTAGCTCGTCACCAAAGACCACGCCCGTGTCTGGTTCCTTCACCAGCGCCAGCGCGGCATCCTCGTAGCCCTTCGGTGGTGCCGCCCACAATAGCGACGCGGCGAGGGTGGAGCCCAGGAGCAGCAGCCTGACAAGCGGTGCGCGTCGACGTCTGCACTCTGATAGGACCATGGCCCAAGCGGCTTGAAACAATATTGAGCCAAGATGGCTACGGAGTGTGAACGACGACCATCGTCCTTGACATAGTGACGGGGTGATGATCAGGAAGGGGGCCGTCAGGCCCTCGCATTCAAACCATTCGAGTGAACCTCAAAATACCAAAGTAGTCGGCCGTGCTCATATCGCACTTTTGATGAGCCCTCAGCGAGAAGTCCCACTCCCCGTCCAACCCCCTCGCCCTTTCCCCCTCTGGCCCTTCTCCTTTTCCTCCTCCATCCGGGTCCCCCCGACACAAACAGGGTCAAGTGGGGCATTATATGATCTGATCCCCACCGGGACTTCCCATCCACCAATACCCAAATTACTGCACAGGGTCTGTTCGCGCACAACAGACCAATCATCAGTGACAGCAGTCATACCCAACTGGCTAAAAATGGCAGCGACTGTGGGCACAGGGCGGAACCGAGAACAAATGGTATCAACAAATGTCCTGGCAAGACGGCGGTAAAGCCAACTGGGATAAGTCTTGACCGCCGAGGAGAACC